CCCTTCATCGGGAACCAGAAGAATTCCCGGACCCTGAAGTGTGGAAACCCGAACGATTTCTGGAGGGGAACCAAACGCATAATCCCTACGTATATCTTCCCTATGGTAGCGGGCCACGCATATGCATAGGAATGAGGTCTGTATATGTATCATGTATCTGCATTTCTTAAGCTTTAGGAAACCTTGAGCTACCCAATCAAAAAAAATCATCATAGGAGGAAAATGATAAAATAATTACTTGATGGACATTGATATCTTTTTGATATTTTGAGATATTCGGTAGCATAAAAAAGTATGGAGTGAAATTAAGTTAATATTCCCAAATAATATTTCATTAGAAAAAGTAATAAATTATTACTAAATGAATAAAATATGTATATACATAAAATATATTATGAGATATATTCATCAATCCTCTCTTACTGGAAAAAAAGTTTAGTTCGCAGCACAGACATTTAGTAGATTTGAAAAAAGATTTTGCCGTTCCTTTCAGGCGATATTTTATGCCTAACAAGCCCGTGTTCTGACCTGGCCATGTAGACTCGCGCAGGATATGATGCGGTTCGCCTTCGTTCACGTACTGAAGGAGCTGGAGATCGTGAGGACGCCGGAAACCCCGGAGAAGGTGGAATACCAGGAAGGGATACACTTCGCCATGCAACCGACCAACCTCGTCGTCAGCTTCCGATCGCTCCACTGATCCTCGTACTTCAAGAACGGCCTCCTTCAGCCCATTCAAACTCGCCATCGGCCTCTTACGACATGCTTCATTCTGCCTCTTCTTCCTGCTTCTTATCTCTTCCGCCCTCTCTATGGAGATTTTCTCCACTTTATGCCCCTCCCTAACTCTAAAAGTTCACCGATTTCAAGCATTATTCGTCATCATGTTTCATGTGAATCGAACTGGAGACCCCTCCAGTTCGATTCACATGAAACACCAATCGTGACGGATAACCGACGTATCGCCGGCCAGACTGCAGTATCGTCAATCGTGAAGAAGGAGAGGACGAGGAGACCCCGAGGACCTGATCCATCACACAAAAACCGCTATGAAATAAATGAAATAGGTTTAGTACAGTATATACCTGTATATAGAGTAACTGGGAGATAAATAGGCAGCGTTTCATATTCCCTGGCACCACTCCTGTTGCGAGGGATGCAGAGAAGTGTAAACTACATCAGTTGGCAATCTTGCTCTTTCAATGATGCTTCCTCGGTCAGAATAGCATTTGTGTTTTTTATGTGTCCTGCTGAAAATGCCTCATGATGTCTCATTAAAAAAAAACTTAATGATATTCTCACGAGGATCTCATGAGTCTATTGAACATGAGGTCTTGCGGCTTCTCGTTTGTACTTTTCCTTGCACTGATATCTAGACGTTTTTTCTTACAGTTTTTCCCAATTGCTAACGTCCGTTTCTCAAAACTACGTTTCCGTTTTCAAAACTATTTGAACAAATCCCAAAACTCTGCAAATTTTTCACAAAACTTAACACCCGATTTCGTTGTTAACGTACGAAAAGTGAAACTCGAAGTGCGTTTTTCACATCTTAACGTACCTCTTTCGGAACTTAACGTAAGGAAAAGAACAAGAAGAGCTACTGGGTGGGTGCCAGCGATGGATGCA